GAGGCTGGGTCACTGGATCAGGAATTTGAGCAGAGACAATGGTATCCACATGAGCTGCATCTTTGATTTTGTCACAGCGATGGAAGAATATCAAGATATGTGCATGTGGAAGTCCTCTTTTTTGGAATTCAATGGTATGAACATGAGCTACACATTCACCAAAGAGACCATCTTTGATATCTTGTAAAAGAGCATTCTTTTTGAGTTCAAATACTCTAGCAACAATGTCTGGTCAATCAGAGGCTGTCTGTTTTTTACCATTGACTGCAGGTTCCTTTAAGAGAGCTTCTTGAACTTCAGGCCAGTTTGGATTAGCAGTCATGGTGATGAAGAGGTCAGGTTTTTGGAAATGCCTGCAAATAGCCATAGAATCCTGAAACAATTGCTGCATGGGTTGTTCACTTCCAGTGTGAGAGGCAGGAAGGACAATCCAATGGCCTTGTTGGGCCAACTCTTCATCTCCAGCTGCAGCATCAACCACTCCTTGGTAGACTTCAGCTCTAATCTTCTTTTGATTTAATCTGACCCAGTTGAGCTTTGTTTATTCAATTGAAGCCTATGCATCCACCACATATTGCTGGAACAGTCTGCCACTCTATAGTAATGCAGCATTAGCTTCTAAAGTCCTCTGCTGGAGCCTATATGCATAATATGCTGTTTGAGTAACATTTTTTGTCCTTTGTTGATTTTCTGGTCCAAAATGAGAGTGGATATGAAGGTGAAATCCAGGCTCCTTAGTTGGAAAGATGATGGTGTAGTGCAATGGAGTATAATATGGATGTAAATGGCTGATCTGCTTCAATTGACTTTTCTGCAAGCGCTATTATGGTGATCTGATTGTTCTTCTGATCCATCTCCAGGAATGATAGCAGCAACTCCTTCCTGTTCATTGGGATCATTGTAGCATCAATGGTCTCCAAAATCAGCTCTAAGCCTGACTGCAAGCATTTGTAGTTGGCCTTCTGTAACTTCTCCCATAATCTGCCTAGCCTGCTTTATAAGTCCTTCAAAGCATATCCTACAGAGAGGCCATTACTTGTGGATCTAATCTAGGATTGCCTTGGCATGAGCAGCTCCACATGGACCATGGACCATGTTAGTAGTAACAACCAAATATTTATCTTCTATGTGTCATCAATCAGACTATTACTCATCTTTAATTATTGTTAGTCAATCTCCTCTACATACCTTGGGCTGATGTGTCATGTAGTGTTAGTCATAGGTATCAAAGATGTAGTATATAAGGCAGCCTACAGGATAGAACATCCTCAAGCTGAACAATAGCAGTGTTTACCAGGCCTATTCATTGAACCAACTGTAAGGCTACCAATGATGTGCTCTCTTGTCATCAGTGCCTGCTCTTGTCCTAGCTTACTCCTTGCTTGCTTGAAGTCTGCCCTCCATGGCTCACTCATCACTTCCTTATCATCTGTCTAAGCATTGTCCAGCCTGCTTCTTGGTTCAGTATTCTATGATCTAGACACCTCCTTACACAGGGCTTTAGAAAACAATTGCTAAGGAGAGTATCTTACTTCAAAATTCACTTAAATTGCATACTCCAGCAATGTCATTCACTTGTGTGATGTGGCCAAGTTCTCTTTGTTTTTTTTAAAAAAAATATTGCTTTTGCTTATTTCTTTTATGGAAAATCAAATGCAAGGCCAGATCAAGATTCTTATAGACAATGTCATTTTCAATTAATAGAAGTATACATTTTGCATGAATGTTATTTTTCAATCTAACAAGATTTTAGAGAACAATTGCTGAGGACAATATCTGCCTTCAAAGGTCACTCAAATTACATATTCAAGCAATGTCATTTATTTGTGTGATGTGGCTAAGTTCTCCTAGTTTTTTTTAAGATATTGCTCCTGCTTATCTCCTCTATGGAAAATTACACTGCTTTCCTGATCATTTTGAAAATAATTCTGTCTTTGATGATGGGAAACCTCATTTCACCAGACTTATCAAGAACCAACTTATCACTGCCAAAAGCTTCAAAGGCACTATATCCAAGAGAGTATGTAGTGTCTACAACCTCAACAGAGCCTGCAACAACTGACATTGTAGCAATGCACTGCACATTTATCTGCTCTGTGGATGCAACTACCTAATTTTCTTCAGGTCTACCTCCCATTTACACATCACAAACAGACAGATCCAGACCTGAAATGCAACATCATTCTTCTCCAAAATTTTTGATTTACAAAGACTTCTTTCACCTCATTCACTTTAGCACCCCTAATCAAAAATACATTTCTTTAAAATTATGAAATCTTCTACAGAGTCATCTACCCATACAATGCTTCTGCTTTCAATTGTCTTCTTGCTGAACATTGTCTGTCTGATTCTCATCCTCTCTTTGTTTGCAACCTCCATCAAGGTTCTCCCTTGGCACAGAAACATTATGTCTTTGAAAAAAGACTCAAACACAATCATCTCTGCACAAATGAACATCATGAGGCTTTCATTATCTTCTATATATCTACATAATTCCTGCCATGCCTCAACCTCTACAGAAAAAAGAATCAATGCTCTTAAGGGAGAAATTCATGCATTCTATCTTCAACATTAACATGGCCTAGAGTTTAAGCTCAATGATCATTAGTAATCAGTGATTTGTTTGTCCTATGAGATGATTATAGCTCTTATGAACCAGTTGTACAGTCTGTAACCACTTTCTAAATACATGACAAATATGTACTTAACTGAGCATGGGTCCAGCTTTGACTTCACCAACTTCTTGGGTACTTTGGCAAAGTCTATGCATCTAAATGGGTGCAGGATGTGGGGTAGCTTATGGTCAGCTAATGAACATGTTTGGATGGTGGAAAATCTTGGCTCAAATTTAAAGTCAACACAGCCACAGATCCCTTTGATTCTTGGAGACACTTATTTGAATGAAAAACTGCAGGAGTTGTTCAATTTTCCATATATCTTGCTTCAGATGTTGATGTGGTATGCCAGCCAAGGCCTTAAGGCCGCCTGGCGAAATGGCATCGCGTCTGACTACGATTTATTATAATCAGGAGATTGCAGGTTCGACCCCTGCGGTGGTCATTTTTGAATCTGTGCTTCTATTTTGACAAAGAATTGAGTTGAGGAAATATTAGCATATACCTTTCGTCCAAATGATACGAAGCTTAAATATCGAATCTCCAACCTCCATCATTATACTCATTAATCTCTTTTGAGCTCGTCGATCACAGTTAGTGCCTGCTCTCCCGGACAGATTTCTTTTGAGTCTCTTTGTCAAATATTCATGCTGATTGCTGGCATTTGCAAGGGGCCAAGATGAAACCGACAAATAGTTGACTCCACTGACCTCTACCTTTATTTTAAGTTACTCGCTCTCACTCTTTCTCTACTCTTTCTCTCCGCATATATATGTGCATATTCTCCCATATCTGTCTTTCTGCCTAACATACTCAACAACATATTGATATGGAGTAAAACGCTCAGTCTCATTCCATTGATATTCGCATTCAATGCCCCTCCCCCTAAAGATATTTAACTTTATACCTCTCTGACTGATACGGGTACGAGCGAACATTTGATGGCATTAGCTAACCAGAGAAATTTGTACAATACTGCAATACAAGCACGACAGAATGCTGCCTAGGTTTGCTCATGAATTGTATTGACAAGGTAATTAGATGAGATTTGAGAGAAACATGGTCGACGACAAACAGTATTATACGTAGGCAGATCCAAATTAAAAAAGGCCTTCATTGTTGTGTCATTTTCACTCTTTTGCCTCTCGGATTCTTTCTACGAGCTTTCTTCGACGCAGGGTCCGTATCGTCAACACCGAGAACATCACTTAGCCCATACCCATCCCCAGCCATCTCGTCTCTGTCCCGCTTCGAAGGCACCGAGACCCGATCACTCAAGGGTCGGGAGAATGTCTCTTCCTGTGCATCGTTCCTGTCCACAGACATCTCTAGTCTCTCCAGCAAAGACCCGGGACGCCGTGGCATGTCTGGTCGAGTGTCCAGGCGCCGCTTCCTTCCTGTGTACTCGTCACGTCCACCTTTCGAATGCATATGCGACGGTGCATCCATGTCGGCATCAACATTGTAACTATCTGACTCACGTTCTGAACGTTCGGCATTCGGGAGGTCGTAAAAGCCTGGGAAAGACCTCCTTCCCTTATGTCTTGAAAGGGCATCGGGAGTATGGAGATCAAGAACATCCCCATTGACTGAGTAGTTCGATTGGTTGGGGTTTGGTGGGAGAGCGTGGGTCTGACGCGAGGAGGCTGAGTCGTCAAAGCGGTCGCTCAACCGGCCTTCAAGGCCACCACTTCTGCGAGGCTCGTTTGGCTGCCGAGCAAATCGTTCCATCTGATGGAACTGCCGATCGGACGGAGGGGGTCGGCCTCGTGAACTTCCAGGTTGGTCACGAGAATCAGGATAGCGGGAATGAGGTCTTCCCGTGTCCACAAGCGACGAGAGATTAGGTGACGCTCTTGAAATTGAAGGCGAGGTTGTGTGCCGATCATTACTACTTGTACCGGAATTCCCCATGAAGACTTCAGGAGGAGCTTCACCCCGAGGCGTCCATGTTCTAGCCAACCGTGAGGTGTCTATAGATGCCAACTCGTAGCGAGTGTCCTTGTAAAGCATCAGTTATGGTAGGTTTTGAAGATATCAAGAGGACTTACAAGAGGGCTGGTCGAGAAGCGGTCCCTTTGTGATATACTGGTGTCAACACCGGGTGGTTGCCTCTCAAAGGACTACAGTACAATCAGTAAGCAACGTCGTCTCTCTGATTTTTCAACCACGCACAGGAAGACTGCTATCCCGCCGACGTGAAATTGGCCCATCATTCTCGAATTTCCCAGGTCGAAATCTGTCTGAGTGGTCATTACCATAACCCTGCAACAAACTTAGCAACTATTGAAAGGAAGAACAAAGTAGATGTTTACCCTTTCATACTGCAGCTCTCTAGGTGGATGAGACGGAGCGCCAGCACCACCTCTCATGCTACCACCGCCTCTACCACCTCTTGCGGGTCGTTGATTCATCTCGGGCATTTCAGGTACAGGGAGACCACTTGGCATACGTGTAGGCACCCCAGGACCTCCACTACCATTGCCAAGTTGTTTCCTCTGATTCCCAATCGGCACACTATTCGGCCCAGAAGCAGAAGACGGTGGTGGGCGAGAATAATCGTTGAATCGTCCACGCTCACGACGTCCCTACGGGTAAGGTCAAGACACTGACAAGAATCAAATTTGAGATCTCTTAACACTTACCCCCCTTTCAGGCATCTGACCGATACGTTCTTCTCGCCATCCACTATTGTCCCTTCCACGGCCTCCCATGTGTGGCGGTGGTGATCGCTCCCGGTTCCCCCCACGTGGACCAGGGCCGAAGCCCGTTTGCAGTGTGGGCGATGTAGCCTCATCTTGGTTGACCAAAGGATGCATCGCACGTGGTCCACGGGGAGCATATGCCTGGCCTGAAGAATAATTCCCAATTCCGGTGGATTTATCCTCAGTGTGGATGTCCAGGGGACCCATCCTGACCCCCGAATACCTTGACCCGCGAGCCATCTCCTCTTCCTTCTCTTCCTGTGTCTTGAAGAAATGTCTCATTTTGATATTGTAGTCCACTTGCTTCCTAAGATCTTCTTGTATTTCAGGGGAGAAATGTGCCATATCAATCTCCGTTTGTCGCCTATAATCAGCATCCACGGAATCCTCACAATGATTATCTTCATGGTTTTGATCTTGCCCGTAGGGTCGAGGGCGAGAACTAGATGAAGAATCGCCATGTGTCACTCCCTGTGTATCGCGTAACCCCATTGATGGTTGTCCATCGTCGTTATGACGAGAAGGTGAAGGAGCACGATCTTGACGAGGACGATCACGTGGTCGATTTGATACTTCATGAAACTCGGCAGCCTGAGGAGGCAACGGCGGCCTCGCGCGACCTAAACACACAGCGACCAACAGATGTCACAAAGGACAGGAGACCAACGGGTCCGAGGGAAGGGAAGGGAAAAGCAGACGAGACGTCGGTCAAGTAGATGGGAGGGGTTGTGGGATGGTACGTACGTGTATGCTGTTCGGAGGAAGGTACATTTTCCAATTCACTGCGTTCATCTGTCTGTTCCGAGTGTCTAACTTGGCGATACGATACCGACGCAGAAGACCCGTTTTCAGATGCCTGTATAGATGTCTGAAACAGTTTCTCATCAAAAACTTCACGTCTTTGCTGAAGTTCATGAGGAGGTGGAGATCTAATGTCATCAGGCACAAATGGATCATCCTCTTCCATGAACCGATGCGGATAGGTCTGCATTTCGACTGTAGGAAGCCGGGCAGATGGCAGGCCAGGTTGCAGGCCGAATCGTGAAGGTCGATCACGTTTGCGTTGCGAAGGTGGGTATGTCGATAATTGAGGCGATACAACTACTTTAGATGTCGCTTGATGACCTTCCTGCCTGCGCGACGGCAGCATAGCCCAATGGCGTGCGTCGTCGTGGATGTGGGTGTCACGTTTGTCTAAAGGCGGTGATCTGGTTCCTAAATAATTTCAAAAAAACGGGTAGGGAGGTTTGAAAAAAGACATAGGGTTCGGTACAACATGCAATGAAGTGAAAAAGGGGGGGAGAGAAAAAGATGATCCATAATGAGCGTCCTTGCGTCGACAGAGGAGAGAGGCCGAGGAAGATGGAATGGGGAACAAGAAGAGCAACAGCACACGGTGGGCTGCCTTTGTTAGGCTTTGCAAGACAAGCCCAGGCAAAAACAACATCATCTCGCTCCGCCCGCGGAGCACTGATGCCACCGTGGCCGCACCCTCATACGGGAGGTGGAGGGAGGGAGAATGTGATGAGGCGGATAACGTACTGGAATCGGGCATGTTTTGGATACGGCTCTCTTCACGCATAGGCTGATCTCGTTCACGGCGACCCCTTGTGTTTCCATTTCTCAGTGGCATGGGTGGTCCGGTGTCCAAAGACGCATCATAAGGTGTCTCATAGTGGTGGTGTGAGTGACGGCGAGACTCCTGGTAGGTGTTACTGTCTCGAGCTGGATATGAGCCTAGTAATTGGTCACGGTCTCTGAAGGTCGAGGAATCTGCATCAGTATTGCTATTCCGCCTACCGCGTGAAGAACGCGGAGGACGAGTAGACCGAGAGTCTTGACCATGAGAAATAACCTGTGAAGACATAGGTAACGGGGAAACAGATCTAGCGCGAGCACGCGGTGAGGCTTCAGGTGAGGTTGTAGATGCTTGATCTGGTCGCGGGTTGAAACGTGAATCCGCAGCCTCACGATTCCGATAGTGCCTGTCATTAGTATTACCACTGGCATTTATGCCATCTACTCCTGGACGATAATGACGGTCATTATAAGACATCGTAGTCGCATTTGAGGGAGGGATGATTTGCAGATCTGTCGCAGGGACATGTTCAAGTGGTTGCACGCGTTTAGAGTGTCGAGAAGGTTCCTGGGACTGAGAATGGGAGTTATCAGATCGTCGTGGACTCGAAGACTTGGCTCCCAAGAATGAGTCACTACCGCGACGACGAGCACTGTCGTCGCGGAATTGCCTACTAGGTGAAGAGGAAGAAGGGTTGCTCACGGGACGAGTCCAGGTAGATTCATGGGTCCGCACGTTGTAGTAGTAGGTTCCTCCTGAGCCGCTTCGAGCTTCACGAGCTTCCCAGCCACGCGGTAGAGGTGGGAGTTCGTTCCCTGAAGTAAGACTTTTTCCGTTGCCTGTATTTAGATGCAGTCAATGACAAAGTTATATTAATCTTGCTGTTCGAGACTCACTGCGACTTGTCGTCCTTGTCGGTGCTGACATTGCTGTTGCCTCGACTATAGAAGGATGAGAAGGGGGCAAGAAAGGCACAGTCGTCACGACTGGTTTCGGAGGGAGAGCATGAGTTATCCTTGGAGCCAGCGTCGGTTGCGGAGAACGACGACCAGGACTGCTATTCCTGCGAGGTGTCCCTGTTTTCGAGGACGGTACCTGTGATGGTGACGAATCTTCCCGCTGAAGCCTGCTCAGAGTCGCAGTCGAGAGTGCATCGTCGGC